CTTCAGCCCTCTGCTCCCCCTGCCTTCCCCTTTGGATGCTCATAATGGGGTGTACAATATTTGTCCTTCTGGGACTGAGTTAGTTCACTCAGCATAATGCTCTCCAGTCCCTCTCAAGTTAGAGTACTTTACAACATCATTGCTCCTGCGTGCTGTGTAATGTTCCATCACGTGAATGCATCATAATTTCTCAATCCATTCATTGTGGTTCGACATTTGGGCTGTTTCCATGTTCTTGCGATGGTGAATAATGCTGCTGTGAACATTGATATACAAGTCCCTGTGCCTCAGCTCTCATTTTTTCGAGGTATATTCCAAGCAGTGAAATAACTGGGTCATATGGAATATCTATGTTCAGGCTTTTGAAGAAATGCCAAACTGCCTTCCAGAGTGGTTGCACCATTTTACAATCCAATCAATAGAGTATAAACGTTCCTATCTCTCCACATCCTCTCCAACATTTACTACTTGCTGTCCTGTTAAACGTTACCATTGTTACTGAGGGAGATGGCATTTCATTGTGGTTTTGATTTGCATCTCTGTTATTGCCAGTGATTTTGAGCACTTCTTCATGTGTCTGTTGGCCCTCCAGATGTACTCTTCTGTGAAAATTCTTTCCATGTCTTTTGTCCATTTTCTAATTGTGTTATCAGTCTTTTTCTTGTGGAGGCCCAGGAGTGTTCTGTAAACTTTTGTTACGAGACTCTTGAATGAAATGGTATTACCAAATCCTTATTCCCAGTGAACAGATTGTCATTTCACTGTATTGGAGACAGTTTTTGGTGTGTACAAGGATTTAATTCTTAGAAAGTCCCATCCATCAATTTTATCCACTCCAGACTGAAAATGTCTGGCTGTATTTGGCAGTCTCTTTATACCATAGACTAGGGCATCTAAACTTAATCCTAGTTTGTCTCTGATGAACTTTATGGTTATATGCTTTACATCCAGGTCTCTGATCCACGTTGAGTTATTTTTTTTTTTGTCTATGCTGTGAGATGTGGGGATTCTATATCAGCTTTCTGCAGGTAGTAGTATGGTTTTGCCAGAACCAATTTTTGAAGAAGTTGTCATTTCCCCACTTTATAGGTTTTATTTCTTGTCAAATGTAAGTTGACCATAGATAATTGAGTCCATTTCTAGGTTTTCAATTTCTTTCCATTGATCTATGTGCCTATTCTTGTACCAGTACCATGGTGTTTTGGTTACTACCGCTGTGTAATAAGTTTTGAGATAATAGAGTATTATGTTTCCCACATCATTTTTGTTTTTCGGAAGTGCTTTGCTTATTCAGGTCTATTTTCAAATAAAATTGACTATTTCCCTTTTGATTTCCTTGAAAAATTAATTTGGTATCTGTATTGAGATTGCCTTGAACATGTAGATTGCTTTCAGTAGGATTGTAATTTTCACACTATTGAGTCAACACAATTAACACTCTTGGTACAAGAAGTTAGGAAATCAGGAGACATATTGCACTGGGAAAATCTGCTATTAGTGACCTTTACAGATTATAGGGGAGCAGTGATGTCAATTTGAAGTCTAAGTTGCATGTGATTCAGGCCATAGTCGTTCCAATTACTGGCTATGCATCTGAGACCTGGACAATAAATAAGAATGACAGAAAAATAATTGAGCTGTGGAGTTGGAGATGAGCACTGAACATCCCATGGACAGCCAAGAGAATGAACGGATATGTCTTTGAGAGGGTGCAGCTGGAGTGCTCTTTGGAGGCAAGAATGCTGAGGCTTCACCTCACATATTTTGGACATGTTGCTAGAAGGTGTTATTCCTTGGAAAGGACATGATGTTGGGAAGAGTGGAGGGTCAGTGAGGAAGTGGAAGACCCTCCACGAGGTGGGTTGACACAGTGACTGCTGCACTGGGCTCCTGTTTGTCAGGAAGTGTGAGGATGGTGCAGGACAGAAGCGGGTTCAGATATTTTGTTCATAAAGCCACTATGAGTCATGCTCAACTCAGTGACACTTAATAACAACAATCCATGATCAGGGCACGTTTTTCCTTTCTTTTATTGTGCCTTGCAGAAATGTTCTGTAGTTTTCTTTGTGTAGGTTTTTTCTTTCTCTAGTTAGGTTCACTCCCAAGTGTTTCAGTTTGTGGTTGGCTATTGCAAAAAGTATTGTTTTCCTTTCTAACTATAGAGGAATCCCACTCATTTTTTAAATTGATCTTACATCCTCCCACTCTACTAAATTGTCTTACTAACTCTAACAGTTTTTGATTGAGTCTTTAGAGTTTGACTTTCATTTATAAAATATAGATATTGATCACAAAAATAGATTCCCTCCCTTTGTTACTATCCTTCATATTTTCCCTTATGACTCACTCTTGTCTTGTCTTCTCATCTCCTTTCTTTTCCTGCTTACTCCTTGCCTAGGTCTTATCCATCAACAGGAATCCCAGGACACTTAATTGTGCTCCTATAAAATCTAGATTTAGATCAAGAAGCTGGTGGCCAATATGGAGCAAGGGCACACCTTATGTTTTAAATCAGGAAAGGAGTGCATCAGGAATGAAGCCTTCTCCGTACCTATTCATTCTCAATGCTGAGCAAATAATTTGTGGAGCCAGACTCTATGAAGAGAAATGTAGCATCAGGATCAGAGGAAGATTCAGTAACAGCCTGTTATATAAGTGGCACATGTATGCCACTGGAAGTGACAAGGATTTGAAACATTTACTTCAGAAGATAAAGAACTACAGCCTTCAGTATGGATTACATCTTCACATAAAGAAAACAAAGGTCCTTACTACTGGGCCAGTAGGCAACGTCATGACAGACAGAAAAAAAGATTGAAGTTGTCAATACTTTTGTGTTATTTGATCAACAGTGAACACTCTTGGAAGAGTGTAGAGCAGTTAGGTGACAGAAGATGTATTGCATTGGGGAAGATCCCTGGCAAAGACCTCTCCAGAATCCTGAAGAGCAATGATGTTAGTTTGAAGAATAAATTGCACCTGATTTAGGTGATGGCTTTTTTAAATTACTTGCTACACATCTGAGAACGAGGAAAGGAAAAGGAATGACAGATGAAGAATTGATGCCTTTGGCTTGTGGTGTTGGAGAAGACTACTGAATATGTCCTGGGCTGCCAAACAACAGACACAAATGTCTTGGGGAAAAGCACAGGCAGGGTGCTCCTTGAAGACAAAGATGGTGAAGTTTTGTCTGCCATACTTTGGATATGTTGCTAGGAGAGACTATTCCTTGGACAGGGACATCATGTTTGGAAAGACAGAAGATCAGCTGACGAGAGGGAGACCCCAATGAGATGGATCTACAGTAGCTAGAGCATTGGACTGTCGTGTGCCAGACGTGATGGGAATGGAACAGGATATGACAGGATTCTGATCCATTGTTCAGAGGTACCTATGGGTCATACTGGACTCGGCAGTACCTAACAACAACAGCAGCATCTCTCCACTTACTTATCCCTGGAAATCTGTGTCCAAGTGGAATTCAACAAAGAGTGATGAGCATAGTTAAATCACAATTGTAGCATTTAAATCTAAAAACTTGAGTTATGGTTCTATATCACTGGTGCACAGCAATTTTAGTGAAATAGAATAATTGATAGTTAGATTGGTGTTTTATTAACAATATTAATAACCTTAAAATCTCTTATACATTAGATTGATATTATTTTATTCATTAATTCATTCATTTATTTCTTTTTAAAATAGTGGAAAAAATAGTAGCACGAAGATATGCAGCACATGCTCTGGAGGAAAAAAAGGAAGTTACACAATTATAGCCAGGAAAAGAAAAATATTTTATATCTCCTAATTATTTCATTACCTCAATTTTCTTAGATAGATAGATAGATAGACAGATAAACTAAGTATATAACAGGAAATTTTTCTTTTTATTTAAGAATGGATATTACATGTGATATATAATATAGAACTTAAAAAGTAAGCAAGAGATAATTATCGGTTTTCAACTTTAACTAAAAAGATAAGTCTTAAA